TAAAATAATGTTAGCAGTCTCAAACCATGCTCCATCACGGAAATAATCAGTAGCTGGTAGAGTCTTAGAGCATTATCTGTTCCACATCTAATAATGCCATCAGCTTCAGTGCATTGAGTCCTTTCCTTATCTTTAAAAGTACCTCTTCCGCATGGTATTTGAAAGACAGGCTCCTGTCAAACGTTATTCCTAGATATTTTAGTGAATTATCTGTCTGTATGTTACTGCCATCTGTTGTTATTCCCGGAACCTTCTCTCTAACAATTTGTTGTTGTTCAAAGAACACTACAACACTGCTTGCTGTTTTATCTTGGTTGATAACAGAACCTACTCTATATTGTCGTCTCCATGTGAAATGCAATTTTTCGTTATTTGAAGCCCCACCCTGGCTTTTGCCGGGGCCCCTAAATATAGCTTGGCAATAAATATGGCCTAACGGCTGAACGGTGGTACTGTGACCTCTCCACGGGTGATCCTCATCCGCATGGTGGCATTTTGTGTGATGTCCTTGGGGGTACAACTTACATACATACATACAACCCGTTTCTCCACTACTGGACGTAATTTGCCTAGAAAAACCACACAACAGCTAGGGGCTGCTGGGGTTGGTTCTGCAACGTCCTGTAAAGAATACGCAGCTAACCTAATAATGTGGTTGTTTCTTTTAAGGATTTCCGCCCGAAATCCCTACGGGTTCATGACCCATTTGCTTTTAGCATTCACGTGGTGAAAGTGTTAAGGGCAAATTAGCAAGAGGTCGATGAATGTACAAGGGATGGCATCAAGAGATGGGCGAAAAGCAGCCAGAGAGAGTGTACATCTAGAGTAAGCGACAGAAAATGTTGGAAGATCCATCGCAGCTAACTTGCATCGCGGAGACGCAAATGTTTGACTGATTGATTTGTTGACTGGCATGTGTATTTTATCTGGCCTGTTAGTTAGTTGGTCGACAGATTATCCTCACTGCACATCTAGCTACAGTCCATAAGTGCTCGGATCCCCTCCTTAGTAAATCCCGCAGTGTGTAGCGGCTCACGACACCAGTTGTGTGTTGGTTTCTTTTTCTTCTTTGGCTTCCTGCAAAGTGCTCTTGTCTGGCCACACCCCTTATTACATGTTGTTCTTGCAGTCTGGTCATGGTTGCAGATTCACAATCATCACTTGATTCTCGCAAACGTCTTACTTCTTGTAGAGCATTCAGACTATCTGCCTGGTCCATGGCTCGTCTGCCCTCCACAGTAGCTCTACCTACAAGCCGATCAGCTTGCTCATTTTCTTTCACACCTGCGTAGCCTGGTGCAAATAGGAAACTGATATGTCAACCCTGAACGCTTTAGAGACTCCAACCATTTGTCTCGTCTGTACCCAGCACGACAGTCTGCGTCTGTAGTTTAGGCGTTGCGAATGCACTTTGTAATTCCGAAATGCCAGATTCGAGTCAGCAGACCGCTTTAAGTTGATTCTGACAGTGATTTAAAACACCGACCGTCTCTGAGGAATGACAGACTACTGAACATAAAAATTGCTTAGTAAAAGTAACCTCAAACAGGTAATGTTGTTGGGATTTGTTCTGTGATGTCTTGTAAGGCAGGCATGTCAAACTGGCGGCCCCCAGACCGCATGTGGCCCTTTGCATGCAGACCTGCGGCCCCTACAAAGGAGATATTCTGCAATAATTGTTTATTAAATGATTTCAATCAGTTTTCGTGAAGGGTTCTCATGACGACACAAATACCACTCATTTGGTCCTTAGCGGGGACTCTTAGACATGTCTGCTAGAATGAATGAATGAATGAATGAATGAATGAATGAATGAATGAAGGCAGGCATGTCAAACTGGCGGCCCCCAGACCGCATGTGGCCCTTTGCATGCAGACCTGCGGCCCCTACAAAGGAGATATTCTGCAATAATTGTTTATTAAATGATTTCAATCAGTTTTCGTGAAGGGTTCTCATGACGACACAAATACCACTCATTTGGTCCTTAGCGGGGACTCTTAGACATGTCTGCTAGAATGAATGAATGAATGAATGAATGAATGAATGAATGAATGAATGAATGAATGAGTGAATGCATGAATGAATTAATGAATGAATGAATGAATGAGTGAATGAATGAATGAATGAATGAATGAATGAATGAAGCATTGACATCACTGCACTCGGGACATTCCCACACGTGCTCCGTCCCCGAAGAGTCGACATGCCAATAGTACCAAAATATATATATAGTCATTCCGCTGAACGACTCCAAAATTTTCCATTCCGTCACGCTTGATTAGATGAGTCACAAAGAGTGCTTCAAAGTTTCCTTCCCCCTCCTCTCTCGACGCACACGTCACCGATTCAAACTCGGGTATGCGCTTTTGTCTCGGCTCATGTGACAAGGGTGCACTGGGTGCTTATGTTTGCATGCACTCTTGTCTGGAAAGGTCACTGACCTGGTTCTTGTAGCGCTAAGGCAGGGGTTCTCAACCTTCCTAATGCCGCAACCTTTTAATACAGTTCCTTATGTTGTGACAACCCTTTAATACAGTTCCTCATGTTGTGACAACCCTTTAATACAGTTCCTCATGTTGTGACAACCCTTAATTACAGTTCCTCACATTGTGGCGAGCCACAAACATACAATTATTTACGTCACTACTTCATAATTTCAACGAATATTTGTTTAGCTATGGTCTTTGGCGACCCCGGTAAAAGGGTCGTTCGACCGAAGAAAGGGTGGCGGCCCGTAGGCTTAGAACCTCTACATGAAGGTGTAGTGAATTTCTGGTTACTAGTGATTAGTGATTAGAAAGGATTATCATCACAGCACTCCGGACAGATAAAAAGGTGCTCCGATCTCCTCCTCAAAAGCTCCACAAGTGTAAAACGACTGATGACGTCTGTTCTGGGTTGGTTAATGAAACGTCTTGCCCCCGTAGTGAAATGTTCATTTCTTGCAGCTGCAGGCTGCACCCCCATGTCCATCAGTCTAGACAGGGATACGGAGTCCTGCCCTCAACTGCCAAGAATATCGCACTACATGATGTAACCATGATGTAACAATAGGATCTCCATCACTTGATTTTCATTGTTCATTTTAAAGATCTTCATCGCACATCGGACATGACCATAAGTGCTCCGATCTCCTGCTGAATGTGTCTCCAAGTGTTTTTAGGCTAACAACTCCCATTCTCTTCTGGTTCTTTTTAAGGATTTTCTCCGGAAATTCCTACGCGTTCATGACGACAGGTGGTTTTCTCATGGTTTTCCTGTCTCGCGGCACCATTGGGTACACCCAGGGTATGTAGTCTGTTCAGTGAAAAATCATTTTCCACAAAATTCTCACAGCGTTTAGTCTCTCCTGTCCTTACAGTCGCACTGCCAGCCAAAGCGTCTGCTCTCTCGTTGTCTTTCACACCAGCATGATCTGGGACAAAAATAAAGGTGATTTTGCGAAACGTCACATGCTGAATCGGATCACTTGATTTCCAATCACAGGCAAACGCTATGAAGCTGAAATTAAGATTACCAGATTACGAGATACAGACTGCAGTATCAGCAAATTTAACAGCATATCCAGGCAATAAATACACATGGCAGTGGTTAGAAGTGCCAACACAAACAGTCCGACACTAGATCGTCGATGAAAGCAGTAAGTTACAACATCCTAATATATAATGATGAGTCACGAGAGCCTACATTTTCTATTTCATCCAGAGACACATCAAGAAACGAGCTGGTGAAATCAGTACTTTTATTGATCACCGGATTCAAGTAATTGTTTGGTCAAGTAAACACAATACGGTCGGAATAGGTTTGGGAAATTAGCGCATGTTGAATTCTGAACCGAATAGTTTTGTTTTTTTTAGGTCACCGGGTGTTAATCTTTCACAATGCGGTTCTAGAGAAGACATATATAACAACCAAAACATACCAACAATCTTTTTCATCTTCTTCACTTTCTATTTTACCGCTTCAGTTGGCAAGGGAGATATAAGGTTTAACTTCTAGCTCTTCTAGCCAGTCTGATCATAGACAAATCGTAATGTTGTAGACTTTCACTAATGTTATCGTTCCACAATGTTCTTGGTCTACCTTGTGCTCTACGGCTCACCCCTCGTTTGGAGCATGCTCTGTATGGTATGGCATCAAAATGTATGGCATCACAATGTATGGCATCACAATGTATGACATCACAATGTATGGCATCACAATCTATGATATCACAATGTATGACATCACAATGTATGGCATCACAATGTATGGCATCACAATGTATGACATCACAATGTATGGCATCACAATGTATGACATCACAATGTATGACATCACAATGTATGGCATCACAATGTATGACATCACAATGTATGGCATCACAATGTATGCATCACAATGTATGGCATCACAATGTATGGCATCACAATGTATGATATCACAATGTATTCTCTGTAAGTGGACAAACCACTATTTTTCCTTCTTCGCGTCCACTCTCTATAAACTCGGGCGAAAAATTTCAGGTTGTTCATCCACTTGTTTCAGAACCTGAGTTTAGCATGCGCATCTGTTTTACAGATCGGGATTCCGTGCAAGCGAACTGTTGGTTCCTCCCCTATCAGGCAGGTGCATTTTCTCAAAAAGTCGACTTTTACGACCCATTACTTCCCAAAAAGCATGTCGTAAGAGTCGACTCATTAGGGATTTTTACCTCAAAGTCGGAGTGTATCTGCTTGATAGGGGAGGAGCCAACAGTTCGCTTGCACGTAATCCAGATTGTAACACAGATGTGCATGCCAAGCTCAGGTTCTGGAGTTTCTTCTTCTTCTTCTTCTTCTTCTTCTTCTTCTTCTTCTTCTTCTTCTTCTTCTTCTTCTTCTTCTACTACTACTACTACTTCTTCTTCTTCTTCATCTTCATATGTTTCTTATCATCAACTTTTGTTTCTTTCTCTCTTTCTCCTCTGCCTTTCCCCTTCTGCTAATAGTTTTTTCCCCCTTGTCTATTTCTCCCCTTCACTAACTGCACACACATCCCTGGCTCAGACTTGCTCGAAAAGATTTTTTGTTCCCTTTCATTTGTGGTTTAATTATCACAGGCGAAGATCTCCTGCGTAATCCGACCTTTTTAACATTCTCTATCAACATTTGAACTATGGCCGAGGTCATGACCTCATCGCTGGGAACACATTCTATATATTCAAGACCCAGAGACTCTGCCAGCTTGGTCCCTCTGTCTGAGGAGATGGTCCGCTGTCTTGCTGGGGGTGTGGTGCCCACTAAAATGCCCGCGACAAACTGATCTGTGGAGTATCTGCCCAGATCTTGGTACCTGGGAAGGAAAGCATTGAAAGGTAAATTAGGAGGCAAATATGACAAGATTACAAATGGAGGTGCAAGTAACGTTTTGGTTTGCACAAAGAGAGCGATTCCCTTCCCATTCATGCCTCGTCAGGCCACAGGGCCTCTCCTGTGTTGTGGGGGCTGTCATGTATTCCTTATTGTCAACGCTTTAACTGTTCTCTCTATTCTCATGTTCTTATGTACGGTATTATTTTCACGTTCTGCTGCTTGCGCGACGATTGAGTATGGAAACTGTGACGTTTTTTTATTCCCACGTCCATTGTTCCTGACTTCTTTGTCTGGTGGGGGATAGGGGGTGGGTGTGGTAGCCACCGCCAAAGAACCGCCTGCGGCTCTTCACCCGGCTCTGCAGTACTTTCTACTTGTACACAGGCACCTGTGGCGCCTCGAAGAGACTCACGACAACACAACCTCTCATAAACGTTATATACGGCAAGGGAATGCGGAATGAAGACATTTCATAACACCCCCATGCGAGGCATGAATGGGAGGGGAAATCAATCTCTTTTTGAGGACCAAAACGTTACTTGTACCCAAAATGGGAATAAAGTTAGTTGCGTTTCCATTAGAGCACACCTTGGTTTCCTCAACCCATTTGTTTCCCATCTTAATGCCTGTTTTCCCCGTGTGGGTTCCAGGGTCCTATTGTGGGAAAAACAAGAATAGACCCACTGCCTCCCCAAAAGCATGTCGTAAGAGTCGACTAACTGGGGAGCTTCCTTTGAAGTCGGAGTGCATCTGCCTGAGAGGCAAGGAACCAGCAGTCTGCATTCAATTGAATCAGATCTGTAAAACTGATGCACACGCAACACTCAGGTTCTGGAGCAGGACTGCAGTCCAGAAGTGGACGAACAACCAGAACTTTACACCAGAGTGTACAGCTGGTGAACGCAAAGAAGAAGAAGAAGAATGCCTGTTTGTTGATTCTTTGTTGGCTTTTTCTCATCACGTATCGAACTTAGCGTCATCTTCTTTGTCCCAAATCCGCCCATATACTAAAATAACATGGCAGACTGTGTGAAAAGCTTTTGAGGGGAAGGTCCACTTCACTGCATCGTGCTGATCCCATATGGGTCTGTCTTTTCGTTAGATATCAATAAAGTAACAGAAAATGTATTGATCGGTACTCATAGAAAGAAGTAGAAAGACAGAAGAACACACTAGACAACATAAAAATTGAAAGCTGTAGTTACCATACCAGACGGCGTGTGCGCCTCGCCATGAATACAAGTGCACTAAGAACATGGTCAACTAGGCATTCCCCCAGAAAGGTGTCTTATTGGCCATGTCTATCGTACAGCCTTAAATCCACAACTATGGAATACGTTCAGAATTCATTTCAAACCATTGAAATGGCGCCATAGGTTACAGAAATGTATATTAACGAAGCAAATGTCGAATAAGAAGAATAGCAAAAATCTACGAACACAGAAGACCGCAGTTTATTTATGTCTTTCAGTTAGCAGCCTGTTAAATCGCCCCACAAAAAGCATGAACTCCGTAGCTCTGTGGACGACCCCGTGTATCTCCATATAATGCATACTCGTGACGACGCGGTCGGACAAATTATATTTAAAACAACTGAACATAAATACTTAAAAAGGGAACTTCCATAGAAAAAGGGAAGGGGTGTTTAGCTCCACTACACCTGGGGAGGAGGCGTTCATTCTCCCCTTCTCCATCATACAGTTATTTCGGGGAGGGAAAGGCTCAAGGGGCTTGATCTGCCAGGCCCCTGCGCCCATGGTCTGACCATTCTTCAAGTTTAATATTTGGACAAAACAACACGGTGTGGAAGACAAACTAGGCCAGTTACCAGTTCATGACGTTGTTGAATGTGTCTTCTCTTGTGACGTCAAATACCAGCAGACACCCGTGGATCCCCCTGTAGTAAGAGGAGGTGAGGCTGCGGTATCTCTCTTGACCTGCGGACCCAGACAGTTACATGTAGATGTCTGTCTACATACCTACATGTCTGTCTGAATATGTGTCTGTCTGTCTGAGTAGGAGGTGAGGCTGCGGTATCTTTTTTGACCTGCGGACCCAGACAATTACATGTAGATGTCTGTCTACATACCTACATGTCTGTCCGTATATTTGTCTGTCTGTCTGAGTAGGAGGTGAGGCTGCGGTATCTTTTTTGACCTGCGGACTAACACAATTACATTTGGATGTCTGTATATTTGTCTGTCTGATTAGGAGGTAAGGTTGCGGTATCTCTCCTGAACTGGGGACCAAGACAGTTACATGTTTATGTCTGTCTACATATCTACAGGTCTGTTTATTTGACAGTATGTCTGATTTGGAGGTGAGACTGCAGTATCTCTCCTGTCTTGCGGACCCAGACAGTTACCCTTGGATGTCTGTCTACATACCTACATGTCTGTTTGTATATTTGTCTGTCTGTTTGATTATAGGGTAAGGCTGTGGTATCTCTCCTGACCTGCAGACCCAGGCAGTTACATTTGGATGTCTGTCTAAATTAGGGCTGTACCGAATATTCGCTTCATATTCGCTTCGGGGCCGAATAGTGGACCTAATAACTATTCGGTATTTGGCCGAATAGATGCGGTCAGGCCGAATACGAATAGTGGTTACCTTACACCCGTTCCTGGACTGGTAGAAATTAAACATATCAAGATTTCCCACCTTGGTTCATACTGTCAAACGTTATCTTTGTGCACCACCTACGAGCGTACCAAGTGAACATCTGTTTAGTAAATCTGGAAGTACCTTCGTTAAGACAAGAAACTGCCTTAATGCTGACAACATGGAACGATTTGTTTGTGTGTGGAAACCTAATGCCGCTTTCATGGATTAATTAAGCTGTCAGTGACAATTTACAAGTTTAGTTACTTGTTATAAAACTAAGAATACTTTCACTTTCACTCCTATGTATTAGTTACCACAGTCTGACTGACTGAAGAATGCAAAACATGAAATGTATTTAAATGTTTACTTTTCTGTACTACATTTTCTGAAGTAAAATGTCAGCGTACATTTGACATTATGGATGTTTTCTTTTTAGATCTATTTTATACACGAAAGTGGAAGAATGGGCCTCAGTTTGAATAGTGGGAAGACAGAAGTAATGGTGGTATCAATGAAAATAATTACTCCTAAATGTGTAATAAAAGTTAATGGTTTTATTTTGGGATAAGTACGGAAATTTAAGTATCTGGCACGTGAATAACATCGATGGAAGATGCATTACTGAAATAAGAAAGAATAGGACAGGCAAAAACTGCATTTTATAAAATGAAGAACATCTTATCCAAATATCTTGGTCATTGAAGGTTAGAAAAAGAATTCTTGCTTGCAACAGACATCCAGTGTTAACATATGGCTTTAAGTCCTGGACAATCGGTAGGCAGGCCAAACAATTTCTTGAAGCCTCAGAGATGTGGTATTACAGAACAATGCTTAAAATATCCTGCATAGTGAACGAACATCGAACTGGGGCGAGCAGTGCTTACTACAAGAAGGCTGGTAAACCAGGAATGAACTGGGGCGAGCAGTGCTTACTACAAGAAGGCTGGTAAACCAGCAATGAACTGGGGCGAGCAGTGCTTACTACAAGAAGGCTGGTAAACCAGCAATGAACTGGGGCGAGCAGTGCTTACTACAAGAAGGCTGGTGAACGAACATCAAACTGGGGCGAGCGGTGCTTACTACAATAAGACTGGTGAGCGGTGCTTACTACAATAAGACTGGTGAGCGAACATCGAACTGGGGCGAGCGGTGCTTACTACAATAAGACTGCTGAGCGAACATCGACCTGGGGCGAGCGGTGCTTACTACAATAAGACTGGTGAGCGAACATCGAACTGGGGCGAGCGGTGCTTACTACAATAAGACTGGTGAGCGAACATCGAACTGGGGCGTTCAGTGCTAACTACAAGAAGATTGGTGAACGAACATCGAACTGGGGCGTTCATTGCTAACTACAAGAAGACTGGTGTACAGGCAATGAACTGGGGCAAGCAGTGCTCACAACAAGAAGACTTGTGAACCGCCAATGAACTCGGACGAGCAGTGCTCACTATAAGAAGACTGGTGAACCTACATCGAACTGGGGCCAGCAGTGTTTACTACAAGAAGACTAGTGAACTAGCAATACACTGGAGCGAGCAGTGCTCACTACATGAAGACTGGTGAACGAACATCAAACTGGGGCGAGCGGTTCTTACTACAAGAAGACTGGTGAACGAACATCAAACTGGGGCGAGCGGTGCTTACTTCAAGAAGACTGGTAAACGAACATCAAACTGTGGCGAGCGGTGCTCACTACAAGAATACTAGTAAACGAACATCGAACTGGGGCGAGCGGTTCTTACTATAAGAAGGCTAGTAAACCAGCAATGAACTGGGTCGGGCAGTGCTCACTACAAGAAGACTACTGAACGAACATCGAATTGGGGCGAGCGGTGCTTACTACAAGAAGGCTGGTAAACCAGCAATGAACCGGGTCAGGTAGTGCTCACTATAAGAAGAGTAGTGAACGAACATCGAACCGAGGCGATCTATGCTTACTACTAGAAGGTTGGTAAACAAGCAATGAACTGGGTCGGGCAGTGCTCACTACAAGAAGACTAGTGAACGAACATCGAACCGAGGCGAGCGGTGCTCAGAGATGTTGTATTACAAAAATAAAAAAGCAACCAAGAAGTTTTGATAGAGGCGGGAGCCCGAAGACAACTCTTCACAGACATCAAAAGGAGACCGTCATTATTTTTCGGCCATGTTATAAGATGAGGGAAAATTGAACATGTGGTGACCACTGGAAAGATTTGTGGAAGGAGGGATAGAGGAAGACAACGAGAGAAGATTCTTGACAGTCTTGTTGCATGGTATGGAGGTGTGTCGGCACACGAACTAATACACGCTGCAGGAGATCGCAGATTGTGGCGAGGCATAATCGCCTATACCAGTCGGAAAAGCACCTGATGATGATGATTCACTATTCGTATTCGTATTCGGCCGAATAGTTGGTCCAGCTATTCGTTTTCGGCCGAATAGTGAAAATCACTATTCGGTACAGCCCTAGTCTAAATACATATATGCCTGCTTGTAAATGTGTCTGTATAAATTGTATATATATATATATATATATATATTAGTCTGTCTGACTAGGAGGTGAGGCTGCGGTAGGTCTCCTGACCTATGGATCCAGACGGCTACATTTGGATGTCTCTTTCTCTTGATATATGTGTGTCTACATTTCTGATTTAATATCAGGTAATGTCTATATTAATCAATGGCTGTATGTCGTTTTAACTGTTTTCTTAACCCTTTGACAACATCTAGCATAAGAATGGAGGTGGAGGCGGTAACTGCCAGCTCTCCGGTGGCTAGAGAACAAGATGCATACACATGATGTAATTGTAACAGACTCTGAAAGCATACTGACAAAGGTGAAGACAGGGCTGCTTCAAGCAGAGCGGCAAGCTTCACTGGGAAGGTCACAGGTAGTGAGCATAATTTGGATTTTTTTTCTCCAGGTGTGCCGGCGTAGTGAGTAATGAACACGCACACAGATTGGCTGGATCTGCACCACTGGGTGATGAAATGATACATGACAAGGTAGGTGTGGTCAAGGCCCTTTGGGAACAAGCAACGGAATCAGTAGAGAAACAAGGTTATTATGGCCTGGAAAGAATGAGGCACCTGAGTGTAACTAGAGGGTCTGGCCGGCTCACTACACTCAGAGGAAAGGCAAGACCAACATGTAACCAGATTGTGACGGTACCATCAGTATTGGAACTCTGCGCTGGCTGCTGAATATGAGGACGGAGTACACATGGGAATGCCCTGAGTGCTGTAATGTCAATTCTTGACTCAACTCAACTCAACCCTTAACCTTTGAAAATAAAGTGTGTTCGTTTTTTCATTCGTTCATTCGTTGTGTCTACCTACCCATATACCCGTATGTCTGTGTTCATAACTATGTATCAGTCTGTCTGTTATCTATCTGTCTAGATAGGGAGATGAGAAACACACGTGTGTTTTTTCCTGACATGTCGATTGAGACCGTAGCATACGTTTGTTTGTCTCTCTAGATGACTCTCTCTCTCTCTCTCTCTCTTTCTCTCCCTCTCTGTATGTGTGTTTATATATAAAACTATGTGTCATTCTGTCTGTTTGTCTCACTGCGTAGGTGCAGGTGAGGCTGCTATTTTTTTCTGTAACTTGCAGTCCACAAAGTTAAATGTGGCTGTCTGTTTTTCTATACCTCGACATATTTGTCTGGCTGACTATTCGTCTATCTTCATCCATCCATCCACCCACCCCTCCAAAAATCCATCCATTCATCCATCTAAGCTTCACCAAATCACTCATACTTTCATCCATCCGTCCGTCCATTCTTCCATCTGTCTGTCTACTTCTCGGTATGTCCGTCTGTCTGACTGTCTGCCCGTCCATCTGTCCATCCATCTAGCTGAAAAGAAGTTAACTTGCTACTTGATGATGATGATAATGATGATGATGCTGATGATGATGACGTCTTCTTCTTGTTCTTCTTCTTGATCTTCTTCTTGTTCTTCTTCTTGTTCTTCTTCTTCTTCTTCTTCTTCTCCTTCTTCTTCTTCTTCTTCTTCTTCTTCTTCTGCCTTCTATTTCTATCCCTTAATAAAGAATAGGCCCTCAATCCATTCACGCCAAGTCGCTCTATCCTTCACTTTTGCACGCAGCTCACCCCATGCTCTCGCCATTTATTTTTAGGTTTAACTGTCTAATGGTGAATAAAATAACTTCAGTAGAGATATCATTTAACTGACCTCCGGTATCGATGATTCTAACCATGGTTCTTCGGCCATCTTTCCGGAAGACAATATCCGCCATTTCACCGTCCCTGAACTCTTTACAATATCCGGTCACATCCTCGTCCTTGACCCTGTGAATGGTATCGTAAACTGTAGTTAAAGTAATCGAGCTGATGTCGAAAATGAGATAAAGACAAAATACGACTACGAATCTTAATGGAATCTTATGGACGGGAAAAGGAAGTCACCCAGAGATTTAGGTAAGGCGGTTGGGCTACGGTCTTTATCAACAACAAAAAACATCAATGAATCAATAGGTGAAGAAAGGACGCAGATGTTGGAGAGGACACAAGCTGAGAAAAAAATTTGAACAACATAAATAGAGTGCGCCAATTAACATCCAGACAGACAGAAGTAAAAGGAGTATTCGATAAGGAAGAACAAAACTGTGTGCAACGTAAAACAGCCACCCTCGCTCTACTTGATGACAAATACCCACATATTCTTTGGGTTCGTGTCCATACGGATGGGTCAGCACAAAGTGTAAGCATAAATAGAAGAGTAGGAGTGTATATTGAGCATCCAAATAATACCAGATATACAGCCAAAATACCTACAGGAAAGCACTGTCACAAATACGATACAGAAGTTCCCGCCGTCAAAATGGCAGCAGAAAAACTGTTAAATATCCGTCATATTTCACAACCCGTGGTATTCCTGACAGACACAAGAGGGAAGCTTTAGGCACCCGAGTCTTGAAAATTACCTGGTATACGAACACTACTCTCCAAACTATGCAAATGTTTCTTACAAGTAATTCTGTGTTTATGTGTGTGTGTGTGTATGTGTGTGTGTGTGTGTACATATAGCTCTCAAAAACAATTTTTACATATAAAGTTTTCTACTAGCGTCGTCCCCTTGTGGGATGCTAGTTGTTATTTTGAGCCCTACCCTGGCTTTAGCTAGGGACCCTAAATTTAACCAGGCCTTGAATATAGCCTAAGGGCTTAACGGGTTTCTCCACCAGTGATCCTCATCCGCATAGCGACACTTTGTGTCAGCGGGTGTTTATCGCTTGTGTGATGTCCTGGTGGGGTACAACTTACCTACCTACCTATATATATATCACTAACACTAAAGATCAAATGGACAGACGAGCTGAATATTTTGAAATACTTCTAAACAGACCAGCCACAGAGGTTTATCCAAATATCCAGTCTTTAGAAATGGAACTGGATATCAGCTGTGAGATATCATCTAAAGAGTACATTAGGAAAGCTATCTTCTGAAAGAATGAAAGGTGGCAGGTTTAGATGGTATCCCAGCAGAACCTATAAGGGCCAATATAAACACATCAACGGAATTGTTACATATATTGTTTAATAATGTCTGGCAAATCGAAGAAATACCAGCAGACTGGAGAGAAGGATATCTTGTGAAACTGCCAAAAAAAATGGTGATCTACAGGAGTGTGAAAACTATAGAGGAACTATGATGCTGTCAGTTCCTGGAAAAATATTAAGTAGGATTATTTTAGAAATAAAGATAGACACATTATGAATAATAATAGATCAAAGCATTGAACTGAATTCAACATTTTACACTGCATTCAGGGAGTCACCGTGGCGTTGATGGCTAGATGCCCGCCTGCGGATCGGAAGGTCGTGGGTTCGCCTTCTGACGGAGCCGGATTTTTTTTAAAAATGACCTCTACTCCCAGGTCGACCCAGCCTTGAGTGGGTACCAGATGCTGTCCTGGGAAGTAAAGGCGGCCGGTGTGATGCTGACCACATCACCAGCCAAGTGCCGACTGGTATATACAAATATAGGTCTTGCCCTTTATTCCCATTGTAAAAGGGACGTTTACTTTTCTTTACATTGGATTCATAGACTACGAAAAAGCTTTTGACAGCATTGATGGGGAATCTCTCTGGAAATTGATGGGGCACTATGGAATCCCACAGAAAATTATTAAGTTAGTAAAGGTAACATAGAAAGACAAGAAATGTAAAGTTCTACAAGAGGTCAAAACTAACAGATACATTTGAAATAAAAAAATTTTAAAAATTAAAAAAACGGGTGTGCTACAGGGATGTCTTTTGTCACCTCTCTTATTTTCACTAGCAATAGGCTGGATTGTGAAGACCGTAACTGCTAACACCAAGAATGGAATTCAATAAACCCCTACAATACAGCTTGATGATCTGGACTTCGCTGGTGATATTTCTCCTCTGTCCCACTCACGGAATTAGATGCAAGATTAATTAAATATACTTAATGCGAGATCACAGCAGCTTGGTCTGAAAACCCACTAGGAAAAGACAAAGATAATGAAAATAAATCAGGCAAAATGTGATTTCTTGTAATGGTATCCCACTTCAAGAAGGGAGTCGTACACCTATTTGGGCAGTAATGTAGATAAGGATGGGGGAACTGATAGAGATATTAAAATAAGAACATACAAACTAAGAGGAGCTTTCATAGCACTAGGAAATTTGTGGAGGTCAACAGAAATTAAAACTAACAATAAACTTCAAATTTTGAATTCTACTGTAGGTAGGTAAGTTGTAGCCCACCAGGACATTACACAAGCGATAAACACCCAGTGACACAAAGTGCTACCACGCGGATGAGGATCACCTGTGGAGAGGTCCCAGAAATCCCATTCAGCTGTTAGGCCATATGTAAAGACCGGCTATATTTAGGGCCCCCGGCAAAAACCAGGGTGGGACTTCAAAATAACTTTAAAAAAATTGCTTCTGTGCGTTATTCTAATGTCAAACCAGTACCGTCATATAAAGCGGCAACATGGAAAACAACGAAGGCAATTACTTATAAACTACAAACATTCATTAACTGGTGCCTGCCCAGAATAGGGGGAAATAAATTGTACGAATCACTAATGTTGAGCTTTGGGAATGAACTAAACAAGTTCCAGTGAACCAAAAGGTGAAGACAAAACGCTGGCGTTGGATAGGACACCCACTGAGAAAGCCTGAAAAAAATATAACTAGAATGTCTTTGCGCTGAAACCCATAGGGGCATAGAAATAAAATAAGACCCTCCCCACCCACCCCACCCCCCAAAGCCAAGGAGAAGGGAGCTAGAGAGAGCAGTAGAAAAGATGGGGAGAACATGGGGAGATCTGCATGCGTAGCCAGGGATATAACGACTTAGGGTTAGTTGGCTGAGGGCCTATGCTCCATTTGGGGTCAAATGGCATTAGAACCGCTGACCAGTTCTGCACCTCTTGGTGGTAAATTGAGTATAACAAGCTGGATGTTGTGAGAGCCCTTTGGGAGCAAGTGAACAGTGCCGAGGCAAAAATAGATCATTACGATCTGAGGAGAATGGCGCTGCGAGCAGTTGCTAGGGGATTTGACCGACGCTCAACGCTCAAGGGCAGGGCGAGACGGATATACCATCCGTCAGTGACTGGTACCATCGGAATTGGAACTCTTCTTTTGTTGCCGAATAGTAATTGTAGTTGATTTTTACCCCACCAGGACATCACACAAGCGATAAACTCCCGATGACACAAAGTGCCACCATGTGGATGAGTATCACCGTAGAGAGGTCCCAGAAACAATTGGCCATATTTATGGCCTGGTTATATTGCGGCCCCTGGCAAGAGCCAGAGTTGAGCTTCAAATAACGAAACATTGCTTTCTAAAAAGGAAGGGAAATAGTCATTTTTGCTGCCGAAGATAGGGACGGAGCTTTTATGGGAGTGTCTTGTGTGCCGTGATGTTGATTCCTAATTCCACATTCAATATTCAATAATTCTAAGTAAAAATATTATCACACACTGGAAAATTACCAGAACATAGCTACATCGCCCCTCAAACTGGGTGATTGTAGAATAATTACTTGAATATTATTATCGCTTTAGGTTTGGTTTAAACAACGGATCAACATCATGGCACAAGAGTAGTAATCCATAAGTGGTCCGTTCTACTTCTAACTCAAGCCTGAGTCCGAACAATCTCTGCAAATTGCACGAACTCTCTAGCACCGGCGAGGATCCTGAAATACATTTAGGTAGATTTTTTTATTTTTGGCTGGGGAGCGCCATTAGGCTACTCTTTTCGATGTCCACCTGCCACGGGATTGTTTACGTGCGCAACAATACACATGAGCCTTTGATCTTACTACCCAGAGACCATAGGAAGTTACTAGGTCCATGTGAACAAATCCCAGTCTACATCGGGGCCTGAGCCCCAGACCTCCAGCAATCGAGGCGGACGCCATGCCTCAAGATCACTCTCTGAGTGATTTTAGAATAATTGCCTAGATATAGGGAGCCGGGGTAACGTAGCGACTAGACGCTCGCCTCCCGACCCAAGGTTTAAGGGTTCAAATCCTTATCGAGGCAGACTTGTTTTCCCTTCAGAATTGACCTTGGGAGGCCGACCTAGCTTAAATTGGGTACCAGACAAATGATGTGGGAAGTAAAGGCTGTCGGTGGGGTGTTAGCCACATCCTTCATTATATGCCCGATAGGTCAAATGAGTAAATATGGTCCTTCACTTTTACTTACTGGATATTGATATACCTTATTTCTCCGGAATTAATTCATACCCCAAAATATAAGCCATATTTGAGATTGTCAGCTAGAATGAGCGACTTGTTGCCGAATGGCCGGTCATGGTACAGACGCTACTGGCGCACACTTGAAATGCAGGCCGGGAGTCGGGATTTTGAGAGTTTCAATTTTGTTCCAGAAAGAGACGGCATGACTATATTTGAATACATGTATAATTTTGTATCTGAGAAACAATTAAGACATCCCTGCTTAAAAGCCTTATACCCGGTCTTGTTTTTTGAGGAAACTCTGTAGTTATCAGGAAACAAATTTTGTCCGACAATGAATATAAAGACATTTCCTATCCAGCACTGTAGGGTTTAGTGAGTCTTCTTCTTCTTTGCGTTCACCGGCTGTAAACCCCGGCGGAAAGTTTTGATTGTTCATCCACTTCTAGACTTGTTCCCGAACTTAAGTTTTGCGTGCACATCCGTTTTATAGATCTGACTTATTTGTATTCTGACAGTTGGTTCCTTGCCTCTCAGGCAGATGCACATCGATATTCACTGAGTGATTGTAAAATAATTACCTTGGCATAATTTTCAAGAAACATGTTTTACCCCACACTAAGTGACTGTAGAATAATTACCTCGACAAAGTCCTCAAGAAACACGTTTTGCCGACGCTGCAGTCTCCCAGCAAAATGACTTTCATCGCCATATCGTAGGACGCAGCACATTCTCTACTTAATGAAGATTTTGAGAATCTTCGACCTTCCGTGTTCTTCTGAGAACATAGCATAGTCAGAGATGCAAAAAATGCCTCATTGTTTTTGACTGAACGAGAGACGTTAGATTTGATTGGTTGCTTCGTAGATGGGGCGTTTCTTTTATCAGCAATATTGTTTTGTGATTGGCTAGAATATCGACGACTAAAATCTGATTGGTTAGATATTCTGTAACAAAATTCTAATTGGCTAGGCAGTCTACAGTGAGATTCTGAGCGGCTAAATTTTCTTTCACGTGATTCTTTTCTCAGATGGGTATCTTCCGGAGACTTCGATTGGTCGTTTCGTTTTCCAGCAACAAAATTGTTCTTTGTCATTGTGGTCGGTGAAATAGCTGGTGGTGGAGAGATGGGTCTCTCTCTTTCTGGTGGGCCAAAGAAGGCAGACGCTGCTGCATATTGTGCCCCAATCATGATGGAGTCGTTTTGTGAATCATCAGCGGAGAAGTGCTCTGAGCCGATGCGTTTCAAGGGTTCTTTATTCTATTCAGTCGTAAATGTCTGAATCGTCTAGGTCCTTAACATGCGACTTTCCCCAGCGTCATAGGAAGCTGAAAAACAAATTATAATTGTTTATTATTATTATTACTAATTGAATGATACAGTTATTAGCAGAGAGAATGAGCGAGTAATAAGACCTACCAGACTGTCCATATATAGACACTATATGGCTCAGCGGAGGGTAGATCAAGAAAAACCTGGATACAGAATTCGGCTGAATGGACTTCAAACATACAGACTCCCCGTGTGGGTTCTAGGGGCCCCGTTGTGGGGAAAACTAGAACATCCCCACTGCATTCCATACAAGCATATAGTAGAAGTCGACTTATTTAAGAGAGCTTCCTTCCAAGACGGTGGGCATCTGCCCGAGGGGTAAGGAGCAACCAACTGCACTCAACTGAGCCAGTAAAACGGATGTACACAAAACTCAGGCCCTGGCATAAAGCCAAAGTTTAAACTGATGAACAACCAGGACTTTTCGTCGGAGTTTACAAACGGTGAACAAAGAAGAAGAAGAAGAAGAAGAAGAAGAAGAAAAAGAAGAAGAAGAAGAAGAAGAAGAAGAAGAAGAAGAAGAAGAAGAAGAAGAAGAAGAAGAAGAAGAAGAAGAAGAAGAAGAAGAAGAAGAGAAGAAGAAGAAGAAGAAGAAGAAGAAGAAGAAGAAGAAGAAGAAGAAGAAGAAGAAGAAGAAGAAGAAGAAGAAGAAGAGAAAGAAAAAGAAGAAGAAGCAACAGCAGCAGAAGAAACAGTCAAACATCAAGTCCATTACCTATGACCGATAAATGTGGGCCAAACTGACGAGACAGACAACAGCAACTGGCGACCCAACGACATACGATGTTATGCGACGATGATGATAATGACGATGACGACGATGTTGATTACTATGGTGATGACGATGGTAATAAAGACGACCGATGATGACGGCTTGTAAGTAGATAGACAGGTAGTTAGGCATACCTGTTAGTAGTTAGGTAGTTAGGCAAGCCTGTGAGTAGTTAGGTAGTTAGGCAAGCCTGTGAGTAGTTAGGTAGTTATGCAGACCTGTGAGTAGATAGACAAGTAGTTAGGCAAGTCTGTGAGTAGTTAGGTAGTTAAGCAAGCCTGTGAGTAGTTAGGTAGTTAGGCAGGCCTGTGAGTAGTTAGGTAGTTAGGCAGGCCTGTGAGTAGTTAGGTGGTTAGGCAGACCGGTGAGTAGTTAGGTAGTTAGGCAGACCGGTGAGTAGTTAGGTAGGCAGACCGGTGAGTAGTTAGGTAGTTAGGCAGACCTGTGAGTAGTTAGGTAGTTAGGCAGACCTGTGAGTAGTTAGGTAGTTAGGCAAGCCTGTGAGTAGTTAGGTAGTTATGCAGACCTGTGAGTAGATAGGCAGGTAGTTAGGCAAGTCTGTGAGTAGTTAGGTAGTTAAGCAAGCCTGTGAGTAGTTAGGTAGTTAGGCAGGCCTGTGAGTAGATAGGCAGGTAGTTAGGCATACCTGTGAGTAGTTATGTAGTTAGGCAGACCTGTGAGTAGCTAGGTAACTAGATAATTAGACAGGCAAGCATGGATATGTAGGTAGACAAATATGGGCATCGGTAAGTATGTCGGTAAATATGTAGGTAGGTAGGCTTGAAGGTATGTAGGTGGATATGTAGGTAAGTATTCAGGACGATATGTATGTAGTAGGCAGGTAGTTAGGTAGGTAGGTAGTTATGTTGGTTGGTAAGCAGACAGGCAAGCAGGTAGGTGGGTAGGTAGGTAGGAAGTAGGTAGGTAGGTAGGTATCTAGGCAGGTTTGTTGGTAGGCAAGTAGATAGTTACGAAGGCAGATAGGTAGACAGGTAGTCAGATAATTAGGCAATCAGGTAGGTAGACAAGCAGACACACAGACACAAATGCCCACACTTTGCATAACTGACCTTTGTTCCGCTTCTAACACCTTGCTGTAGTGACTTCCAATTGCTTTCTCTGATATCCTCGTTTTATTCCGCCCAAAAAGACGCAAGTGTTGACGTCATCACCGCTGCTGGTATCGACCGCGAGTTTGCACTTTTGGGGAGCCGAGGCGGCTTCGAGGCTTGCTGTGGAAATTAGAACAAGTGTCAACCTAGAATACCTGCCTCTGGCTGAAATCGGTCTCTGTGTGGATTCTGGGTTCCCACAAATTTACCCACTGCCTCCCTAACAAGCATGTCGTAGGAGTCGACTTACTGGGGACATCCTTCGTAGTCTTTGCTCCTCTGCCAGAGAAGCAAGGAACCACAAGTCTGCATACAAGTAAGCCAGATTTGTGAAATGGGTGTGCACGTCACACTCAGGTTCTGGAGCTAGAGTAAATTCCAGAGGTGGACGAACACCCAGAGCTTTCCACCGAAGTTTACAGTTGGAAAACACAAAGAAGAAGAATTCCTACTATCGTAATTTTTTTTTAAAAAATAATAAAGGACCCTTTTCCACGCCTTTCAGTCGTATTGGGTATATAGGGCTAGACCTATATTTTATAGACCAAACGTTACTTGGTGGGTGATTGTAGTCAGCATCACGCCGATCGCCTTTACTTCCCATGACTGTATCTGGTACCCACTCAAGGCTGGGTCGACCTGAAATCAAGGTCATTTTGGAAACAAAATCCGGATCTCGTCAGGAACCGAACCCACGACCTTCCGATCCGCAGCCAATGATCTAGCCGCTATACCACGGCGGATCCTACCGTAAATATAAGTAAACAAAATTTTAAAAAAGAAAAACACGGTAGAAGTAATTACCATTTTCCCGCTAGTCGTAAATAATGGCGGCGCCCCTGGCTTAGGAGTTGTGAGTCTGACTCGTAATTCCAACGTACCGCGATCGAAACCCACTACTATCTGCGTGGATTTTTATCACGGTAGGGAGCGTCACAGGTCGACCCAGCCTTAAATGGGTACGAGGATGGCTGTCCTGGGGAAGTAAAGACGGTCAGAGTAATTCTGACCACATCACCCACCGAGTACAGATTGGTCTGTACAAATATGGGATGCTCTTGCCTAAAAGGCATGAAAAGGGATCTTTACTTACTTAGTTTACTAGTAAATAATGTTCTAACACGAGTACCAGAATCGGGGTGAGTGGCCGGCTTGCCCTCCACCCCCAGGACAATTATCGGTTCTTAATTTATAACGTACCCCAAACACGAAATTCCCGTGGGAAATCCACAGCTGACCTGACAGTCCATTATTTCAAGGGGTGTAAGTGTGCTGTTGTGTGGTTTTTTTTTTTTTTTAGTGTTTATCTAGTGTCTTCCAATCCCAACCCTAACCCTAACCCTAAACTTTGCTATAGAGAAATCGCGAGAAACTACAACCTGAACACCCTAGAATTTATTGGGAATGTCTCCCGTGACGTCAGGGGTAAGTTATAAATTAAGTACCCAATTATCTTATGGCCCTTGGTGTGGCGGCTAGAAGAAGCCGGACTTTGAGGTCTTAAAATGACCTTGACTCATAGGCCCACCCAGTTCTAAATGGATACCTGGTAAAATCCTTGAAAGTAAAGGCGTCTGACGTGATGCTGACCATATCTCAAACTAGGTACTGATTGGTCTATAAAATATAGGTCTAGCCCTATATGCCTAATACGCGTGAACGTTGGAAAAATTCCTTTACTTTACCTAATGTTTGTTTAAGTGTTTTTTAGTGTGTCGTCGAGCTGGGAGAACTTCCTCATAAACAGCATCCTGTCCCGAAAACTGGGCTGTTTCGGCGAACCCATGGTTTGAGGTTTGAGGTTTGAGGTTTGTGGTTTGAGGTTCGGGGTTTGAACAACGGATCAACATCATGGCACACGGGTAGGACCCATAGGTGCTCAATTCTTCTTCTAACTCAAGTCTGAGACTGAAGAAGCTCAACACAGTGCACAGGTTCTGTAGCACCGGCGAGGATCCTTCAATATTTTGGGTAGCATTTTCACTCTAAATGTTGCCCGGGCAGCGCCGTTAGACTACTCTTTTCGATTTCCAGTAGCGAAATTGTTTTTATTTTTACGTGTGCAACAATACACACGGGCGTCCGATCTCACTACACAGAGACCAGGAAAAATTACTAGAATTGGTGACCCCATGATGACTGGGAGAGAACGATGATGGAGGCTACAGTTTCCGAAACAATGTGGCAGAGGCAGACCTCTTCAATCGTGGACACAAAACATTGAAGAAGCGTTGACTATGAAAGCACATAGGGCTGCTGGGGAATAGACTAGAGAAAGACAGACGTTCTGTAAAGAGCTATCTGATCGATAATAAATGTGTCCCCTGTCTGTTTATCTTTTTTTTTTTTTTCGTCATCTAAAGATGACCTTTTGTGTATGACAATATATATTCATTACACTGACTCCAGAAACGCCGAGACAAAGTAAATATGGGGGGGGGGGAGGGCGCCCCTTTTACGGATGGGGGGGGGCTAAGCTCATGTTATGATGCTCTAGTGCCTCTGAAAGCCCGATAATGTATTTTAAACTGTACTTTTGAAAAAAAAATAATTGAAAATATGGCGGCGTCAATGGAAATAATGCAAATGTGTTCACTGTTTCATTCAACTAACAAAAGAAAAATCTTCAAGTTCTCAGACGCAATGTAAATGCGTAAAGAAGCAGTCGGATGTGCCAACACGGACAGTTTCCCACCAGAATTTCAGCTCACTGTGACGAAAGAAGTCAATCACGAAACCCGGCAGTTGTACACGCAATATTGCATAGGTACGCGCAATTTTAAATGTAATCATCCACCTGTTGTTTTACTGCAATTTGCCTCTCCCCTCCCCCAATGTCAAATTAAATCAACAGCCCACAGGGTCGCACTAAGTGGAAGCACTCAACTAAAAATCTGGGCGACAGAGCCTTTGGTGTCTCCATCAAGATATAAATAAACTGCATCAGCAAACAGCTGCTAAAGGAACAAACATAC